CTTCCCACAAGAACAATCTCTTTTGTCTTCTTCATTTCTCTCCACTGATTCCCCAGCTGCTGCTGCCGCCAAGTCACTTCAGTCGTGTCCGACTCTGTGTGACCCCATAGACGGCAGCCCATCAGGCTCCTCTATTCCTGGGATTCTCCAGGCAAGAATACTGGAGTGGGTTGCCATTTCCTTCTCCAATGCATGCATACACGCAAAGTTGCTTCAGTTGTTTCCGACTCTGTGTGACCCTACAGGCATCAGCCCACCAGGCTCCTCTGTCCACGGGATTCTCTAGGCAAGAATACTGGAGTGGGTTGCCATTTCCTTATCCAGAGCCCACTCCAATAGACTTTTGACCCCACTATTGCATGAAGTTGCTCTAATCAAGGTCACCAGGGACCTCCATATCCTTGAATCTGACAGTCAGTTGTCAGACTTCATCTTACTTGACCCGAGAGCACAGCTGGCCCTGTTGATCACCCTCTCCTCTTCTTTTAAACGCTGTCTTCTCCTGACTTCCAGACTCACAGACTGGCCTCCCTGCCAGGTCGCTGACCACTCCTTGTCAGACTGCTTCTTCTGATTATCTCTTATCCCTGCAATCTCTTTAAACTGGAGTATCAATGACTCAGGCCTTGAACATTTTCTCTATCTACAGTTGCTTCCTGGCTGATCTCATCCTGGCTCATTAAATACTATCTATAACCTGATGACTTCCAAACTGATGCATTATATTTGGCATTCAACGCCAAGCTCATATATTTAACTGCCTACTCAACATACCTGCTTTGGTATCTAATAATAATCTCAAACCAAACATAATCAAAGTTGAACCCTTGCTGTACACCACCAAATGTGCTCTACTTTAAATTCTCCCTATGGAGTACATGGTTACTTCCATCCGTCCTGTCAGTTGGGCCAAAACTCTAACATCATTCTTGATTCTTCTCTTTCTCTTACATGCAACATAAAATCACAATTGTTCATGATCTTGATGATACCCTTAAGTACACGTAGATATAGATACTCAGATTCCCTTCTTAACTCTACAAGCTCCCTCTTCCTGCAAGACACTAACAGTCCAATTAAAATATTTCTATAGTTTCTTTACTGATCTCCCTGCTTCCATTATTTCCTGTTCCCTTGCTTTCAATCATTGACTGAAGAGTTAAGTCAGATCATGTCTATCACTTGCTCCAAACCCTCCAGTGGCTTCCATACCCCTCAAAATAAAAGCTAAAGTCCTTCAAAAGCCTACACCGCAAATGAAGAAATCAACTTCTATTGCCTTTGCTAATTTCCTTTGCTGGTACCTGCAACTTTGCCAGGAGTCCTGCATTAATACCTGTGTGTGAAGGACTGTAGGGAGTTAACAGTGGAGGGTAAAGGGAAGGGTGATGATACCCTCCATCTCTCTGCGGCTCTGAGGAGGAATCAGGGCATCCCAGAGAGGGGGTGCTGAGGTCAGGGACAACAAACATGGATGTGCTGGTTGGTACTCAAGGCAGTAGGAGATGCAGGAAGAAGTGGGACTCTCAGAGGACAGATACGAAACAAACCCCCTATTTTCCAAGTCTATTAAAGGGGGGGGGAGCCCTTGGATCAGAGGGATTTGATCCTTAGGACACAGAGGGTTGGCAAATTGTGCTTCATATCAAGAAGAATACTGTTGTTTCACTGCAAACGATACCACTTTTGTAGTCTAACCACAGAGGGAAAAATTGAAAGACAGTTTTCCCCCCAATCCATCTTTGAAAGCAGTCACTTGTCTAAAAGAAAAATCTCAAGTGATTTATGTAAGAAAGAAAGCATGAAAATCTGGAAAAATATATTTAGGATAGTTGAAATCCTGGTTCTGACAAAAAAAATTAATTAACTGAAGAGATTTCTCAGAAATCTATGATACTGCTGCAGTTGAGCAACTTCCTTCAGATTTTTGCCTTCTCTGAGCACTCCATCAAGAAATAATCCCCCTCCTCCACCCTCACATGCTCTTCTTCTGCTATATCCCTCCACACAGACCTCCATCTGACCCGCAATCAGGGTTCTTCATCATCATGATGTACCTATTTTCTACAGAATGCTGTGTCCCTGACACTGGCACAGAGAAGGCACCTGACAAATGTGTGTTGAATGAATGAATGAGTCCGAATCCCTTTGTCAACAATTTCTTCCGGAGACATCTGACTTTCAGAGAAGCTCAGGTTCCTGTTGGGCATTCTACATAACGAGGTAAACTGTCTCCTTCGGTGCAGGCACTACACAAGGTACTACCTATGTTGGCTCCCAAGACTAAATAGAAGGTGTGATGTTATGAGACAGTACTGACAATTAGAAGGGTGGAAATTAAGTTTTCAGAGCACATGGTGTTTGCAAATCTAAACCTTCTGGTTAGCAATTTCAATGGGGGAAAAATACCCTACAGAATATCACAGTCAGGGAAGGCAAAACATATTCTGTAGCTTTGTTAATTATACCAGGCAAGCAGCTGCTGGAAAAATGTCTATAGATGCAGTTCTGACAGGGAATACTACAGGGCTTGGTAATCACAATCTCTAAAGAAAATTAATGAGCAGAAGACCACAGAGAGGAGAAAGTTAAAATGTTTAGAACACCAGTGCACAAAGGTTTAATGCAACATAAAATATGCAGATTGGTTTATAATATAAAATCTATATTCACTCATAGTAAAAGCCTCCCTGTAAGTTACTGTCATTTATTAAGTCCTTCTGATTGAGTGTTAATTAATATTATAAACTGGTCATTTTACTAAGAACTGAACATGATTGTATTCTAGCAGTGATATTTGAAAATTATTGTAGAAATATTTAGTATTTATTTATCTATGTTCATTCATCCATCCAATCATACATACATATACTGAGAAGTGAAGTGTATACACTCAACAGATCACCAGCCGGTACCAGAATAAGAATGATTGCAAAGCAGTACAATGTGGCCACACAGACAGTGTTTCACTGAACTGAGGTCTCTCCAAGCTCAAACTATACCATAGACGTAAATGGGTGACTTAGTTCTTGAAGATATAAAATAGACTGAGTTTGTAAAACAGCCTTAAAAAGTAGCTTTTCAAGACCTCAGAGTATCAAAACTAGATAGCATTTTATTCATTCCACTGTAAGAACTGAAGTTGCTATTATGCAACTTTGGGAAATAAACCTCTACCATAATCACTAATTGATGCTTTTGAACTGTGGTGTTGGAAGAGACTCTTGAGAGTCTCTTGGACTGCAAGGAGATCAAACCAATCAAACCTAAAGGAAATCAACTCTGAATATTCATTGGAAGGACTGATGTTGAAGCTGAAGTTCCAGTACTTTGGCCACCTGATGCAAAGAACTCACTCATTGGAAAAGACCCTGATGCTGGGAAAGATTGAAGGCAGGAGAAGAAGAGGATGACAAGGATGAGATGGTTGGACTGCATCACCAACTCAATGGACATTAGCCTGAGCAAACTCTGGGAGATGGTGAAGGAAAGGGAAGCCTGGTATGCTGCATGCAGTCCATGGGGTTGGGGTTGCAAAGAGTCGGACATGACTGAGCGACTGAACAATAACAAATAATCACTAATAAATTAGAGGTCAGGACATACTATTTGGTGTATGTAGCTCAGAAAAATGTCAGAGCACTGAAGGTCAAAAAATTATAGATCATAATGCTCAGACAATGAACACTGGCCTGACATGACCCCATAGTTGTCAACCATGATGCGAGAAGCTATATAAGGCCACAGATATGACATGCAGACTTCAACTTTTACTTAGATTCATATACTTTTTTTTTACCACTTTATTTTTTAATTGAAGGATAATTGCTTTGCAGAGTTTTGTTGATTTCTATCAAACATCAACAATAATCAGCCATAGGTACCCCATGTCCCCTCTTGAAAGAAACTGTATAAAGGGTCAGGATCAACTTTGACATTGAAAGTGAAAGTCACTCAGTCATGTCCAACTCTTTGTGACCCCTGGACTACACTGGCCATGGACCAGGAGTGGGTGGCCTTTCCCTTCTCTAGGGGATCTTCCCAACCCAGGGATTAAACCCAGGTGTCCTGCATTGCAGGTGGATTCTTTACCAGCTGAGCGACAAGGGAAGCCCAAGAATACTTGAGTGGGTAGCCTATGCCTTCTCCAGTGGATCTTCCCAACCCAGGAATCAATCCAGGGTCTCCTGAATTGCAGGTGGATTCTTTACCAGCTGAGCTACCAGGGAGCCCCAGGACCATCATAAGTATCTTACAAAGTATAATCATGGAAAAAGAAACCTTTACTTTAAATATGTTCATTTCAAGCTCTTTTAATGGCAATTGAACAGTTTTAGAGGAAGCATCAAATTACCTGAGTCCAAGTTGCCCAGAAATTCATAGCTTCTTATTTGATATACCTGGCCTTTTTTTCTGATTATTTCTGTATTTGTCTGAAAGGCCCATTAACTTAGTAAATTAGCAACTCTTTAATGGAGATTCCATATCTAATTCATCTTTCTAGTACATGGCTGAATAAATATTTATTATTATTTAAGATTTTTAATTAAATTTTTAAGAATTTTTCACCCTTTCTCATATTAATTGAGCATAATTGTGCATAATCATGGATTAGGTGCTGCCCATTGTAAAAGAAATTGAATAGGTATTGAAAATGTCTGCCTTCTAGGAGACAGATGGAAAGAAGATGGTAAGGCTAAGAGAAAATGAGTTGGGATAAGATGTTTAGATGAAATGGAATGTGGTTTCATCTATATTTTCTTTTGAAAAGAAATGATATCAAATGCCTAATTTCTAAGGAAAAAATCCATAATTTTAAGTCAACGCCATTATTTGAAAGTGTTTGAATCACACTTCTAATTGGCAGTGAGTTGATTTTTAGATGGAATTTTAACACAAGATAAATATGATGAAAACTCAAAGTCTTTCAAAGGAATCAGGACAATAGCATATGAATTCAGATTGAGGTGATCAGCTTCAGAGGTTTCAATCCACCATACCTTAGCCACTTCTTCTTGGAAAGCCACGAGGTTCAAATGAGAGATGTTAACTAAGTCAGGCCCATATACCACTGTTATCATGCGATGTTCCAGGCGCCCAATGTTCCCCACATCCAGAAGTTCACGTAATTTAGGGTCCTGGATAATAAACAAAGATTGAAAAAATTAGTCAGCTAGAGATTCCAACATGGCAGCTTAATTTCAGAAGAATTAGAGCTAGAATGCCCTCAAAACAAAGTTTCCTTTTATTCTTTGATTTTTAAAAATTTTTATTGAAGTATAGTTGATTGACAATGTTGTGTTAGTTTCAGGTGTATAGTAAAGTGATTTGCTGCTGCTGCTGTGTCACTTCAGTTGTGTCTGACTCTTGGCAACCCCATGGACTGCAGCCTACCAGGCTCCTCTGTCCATGGGGTTTTCCAGGCAAGAGTACTGGAGTGGGGTGCCATTGCCTTCTCTGTGAAAGTGATTTGGTTTTTATATATATATATATATATATATATATAAAGCTTTCCCTGGTGGCTCAGACAGTAAAGAATCTGCCTGCAGTGCAGAAGACCCAGGTTTATTCCCTGGGTCAGGAAGAACCCTTGAAGAAGGAAACGGCTACCCACTCCAGTATTCTTGCCTGGAGAATTCCATGGACAGAGGAGCCTGATGGGCTATGGTCCATGGGTTGCAAACAGTCAGACATGACTGAGCAACTAACACTTTCACTTTTCATTTGTATATATTCTTTTCCAGATTTTTTTCCCTAATAGGCTATTACAGAATATTGACTAGAGTTCCCTGTGATACAGGGATACAAGGACACAGTAGGTCCTTGTTGGTTATTTATTTTATATCTAGTGTGTATATGTTAATCCCAAGCTTCTAATTTATCCTTCCTCCCTCCTTTCTTCTTTGGTAACCATTTTTGTTTTCTATGACTGTGTTGCAAATAAGTTCATTTGTATCATATTTTTAGATTCCACATATAAGAAATATCATATTTGTCTTTCTCTTTGTGGCTTACTTCACTTAGTATGATAATCTCAGGACAAAGTGGCCTTTTATTCTTAAAAGAAATTGGTATGATTTGAAGCCTCTCACCCCAGAAAAGTCCAGAGAGGTGAAATAACTTGCCCAAAGGTTGTGGAGAAAGGATTTCTGGATCAAGATTTATGATCCTCATGGTATCATGGTAAGTGAAAGAAGTCAGAAAGAGAAAGACAAATACTGCACGATATCATTTACCTGTAATCTAACAGTTCTGAAATCATAGTAATAGAGATTACAGAGTGGTGGTTACCAGGAAATGGAGGATGGGGAAAAAATGGGAAGATATTGGTCAAAGGGTATAAATTTCCAGATATAAGGTCTGAGCATCTACTGTCCAGCATGTGATTATAGTTAATATTGATAATGTTGTATTACATACTTGAAAAATAGGAGGGGAGTAGATCTTAAATGCTCTTACCAGAAGAAAAGAAATGATAATTATGTGAGGTGATGGAGGTGTTAGCTAATACTCCACTGGTAACCATTTTGCAATATATAAGTGTAACAAACCAACATGCTGTGCACCTAAACTTCCACAAGGTTATGTCAGTTATATCTCAATAGAACTGGAAGAAAGACGTCCTCAATCAAGATCGTACTGTCATTCAGTAACACATTTTTATGTGTCACAATTCTCCTTCTATTTCCTCCAATCAACCCATGAATTGAAATGCAAAAATCTCATCCGTCTCCTCATAAACACATTTTAAAGGAAAAAGGTGGTTCTGGCAGAATCAAAGCACAGCAATGCCATCTAGGGTTGGGGCAGAAAACTAGCTAAGTGCACAGCATGGGCCGTCTCCAACATTCAGCAATGAGAGAAAGAGAGGCTGTTAGATTCAGCAAAACAGCCACGCAGGTGATTGCTGCTGTTCAGCTGCTCAGTCTTGCCTGACTTTTTCTGACCCCATGGACTGCATGCAGCACACCAGGCTTCCCTGTCCTTCACTGTCTCCTGGAGCTTACTCAGACTCATGTCCATTGAGTCAGTGATGCCATCCAACCATCTCATCCTCTGTCGTCCCCTTCTCCTCCTGCCTTCTATCTTTCCAAGCATCAGGGTCTTTTCTAGTGAGTCAGTTCTTCCCATCAGGTGGCCAAAGGATTGGAGCTTCAGCTTCAACATCAGTCCTTTCAATGAATACTCAGGATTGATTTCCTTTAGGATTGACTGGTTGGATCTCCTTGCAGTCCGAGGGACTTTCTAGTGTCTTCTCCAACACCACAGTTCAAAAGCATCAATTCTTCAGTTCTCAGGCTAGTTTATGGTCCAACTCTCACTTCCATAAACTGTAGCTTTGACTAGATGGACCTTTGTTGGCGAAGTAATGTCTCTGCTTTTAGTACTCTCTCTAGGTTTGTCACAGCTTTTCTTCCAAGGAGCAGGCATCTTTTGATTTCATGGCTTCAGTCACCATCTGCAGTGATTTTGGAGCCCCCAAAAATAAAGCCTGTCACTGTTTCCATTGTTTCCCCATCTATTTGCCATGAATTGATGGGACTGGATGCTATGGTCTTAGTTTTCTGAATTTTGAGTTTTAAGCCAGCTTTTTCACTCTTCTCTTTCACTTTCATCAAGAGGCTTTTCAGTTACTCTTTGCTTTCTGTCATAAGGGTGGTGTCATCTGCGTATCTGAGGTTATTGGTATTTCTCCTGGCAATCTTGATTCCAGCTTGTACATGTCCAGCCTGGCATTTTGCATGATGTACTCTGGATATACATTAAATAAGCAGTGTGACAATATACAGCCTTGACATACTCCTTTCCCAACTTGGAACCAGTCTGTTGTTCCATGCCCAGGTCTAATTGTTGCTTCATGACCTGCCTACAGGTTTCTCAGGAGGTAGGTGAGGTGGTCTGGTATTCCCAACTCTTTAAGAATTTTCCACAGCTTGTTGTGATCCATGTAGTCAAAGGCTTTAGTATATAATCAGTGAAGCAGCAGTAGATGTTTTTTCTGGAATTCTCTTGCCTCTTCTATGATCCAACGGATGTTGGCAATTTGATCTCTAGCTCCTCTGCCTTTTCTAAATCCAGCTCAAACAGCTGGAAATTCTTGACTCACATACTGTTGAAGTTTAGCTTGGAGAACTTTGAGCATTACTTTGCTCACACATGAGATGAATGCAATTGTGTGGCAGTTTGAACATTCTTTGGCATTGCCCTTCTTTGGAGTTGAAATGAAAACTGACATTTTCTAGTCCTGTGGCCCCTGCTGAGTTTTCCAAATTTGCTGGCATACTGAGTGCAGCACTTTCACAGCATCATCTTTTAGGATTTGAAACAGCTCAGCTGGAATTTCATCACCTCCACTAGCTTTGTTCTTAGTGATGCTGCCTAAGGTCCACTTGACTTCACACTCCAGGATGTCTGGCTCTAGGTGAGTGATCACACCATCATGATTATATTGGTCATTAAGATCTTTTCCATATAGTTCTTCTGTGTATTCTTGCCACCTCTTAATATCTTCTGCTTCTGTTAGGCCCATACCATTTCTGTCCTTTATTGTGCCCATCTTTGCATGAAATGTTCCCTTGGTATCTCTATTCTAGCCTCACAAATACTGGGATTTGGACATAGAGAAATTCTGCAGTCTTTTCAGAGCAGATGTTCTTTAGGACATGTATCTTTTGGGGACCTAGACCTGCTGGGAAAAGGATGTTTCCAAAGCTTCTGAATTCATAATAAAATCTACCATAGGGTTCTGTTGGTTTGGCTGAAATTTTCCTTTCATACGACAGGTCCTGAAGATAATGAGAAGGTCATGCAGAAAATTAGCCTCAAATGAATCACTTAGCAAATCTGCAGCCAGCTTCTGAGCAAGGAATAACTTACATTCTTATTTATTTAGCTACATGCTGGGCCAACACAGCTTAATGACTTAGGCTGGTTATTCTGATCTCCCTTCTGAGGTTTTTATACACAGCACCCTTGAAGAGAAATAGAGAACTAGAAAAACAAACAAACAAAAAAGAAGAAAGCAATATATTTCCAGCTGAGTTATTTTATTTGGTGACATTAATTCTCCCTTTACTTAATAAACTTTCTCCTCTGTTTGGCTGCATGAAGAGGAACCCTTTCAGGTAAGTTACAAAGAGAGAAAATCACATTTCAAAGCTGCACTAAATATAATAGAAACTTAAACTTGACTAACACGTTGATAATTTATCAAGAACATCAGGCCTCTGTAAAAGATCAAACACTATCACAAAAACATAATTTGCATGACCTAGAAAAGGAAAGGAATACAGTAAAAAAAAAAAAACAACTAAACAATCATAGCAAAAACGGAAATTTTTATCCTTTTACCATTATTGAAAGATTAAAGAAAAATGTTCAGAAACAATGAACTTTTTCTGCAGGCCGGTTGAAGAATGATACCAGCTTTCTGTGAAACAGTTAACTGCATCCCAGGCTTTAAACACAATTGAGGCAAGGTTCAGGGAGAAAACACATTGATCAGTCCTTAAATGTTTGTGCACTTGAGGAAAATGATAATCCTCAGAAACCACCTGAAACTTGTGCTTATAAATCTCTAGTGTTGCCAGTCAGGATGGCTGCTATCCAGAAGTCTACAAGCAATAAATGCTGGAAAGGGTGTGGAGAAAAGGGAACCCTCTTACACTGTTGGTGGGAATGCAAACTAGTACAGCCACTATGGAGAACAGTGTGGAGATTTCTACCCACTGCAATGTTGTGAAGTAATTAGCCTCCAACTAATAAAAATAAATGAAAAAAAAATAAAAATAAAATATCTATTACCACAGAACCAAAACTATAAATCCAAAACCACATCCATTTACTAAAAATACATTAAAAAAAATTCTCTAGTGTTAAGCCAGTGATTGTGGAGTTCACTGACATCCTTTTTTTTTTTTTTTTTTAGAGTTTCATCAGCTCTTTTTTTTGTTTTGTTTTGTTTTTTTTTTTGTTTTTGCTTTTGTTTGTTTTTTTTTTATTTATTTTTTTTATCACAACCATAGTGTATCTTTTTTTTTTTTTTTACATGTATTCCCCATCCCGGTCCCCCCTCCCACCTCCCTCTCCACCCAATCCCTCTGGGTCTTCCCAGTGCACCAGGCCCGAGCACTTGTCT